GAAAGACTTTTTCAATTTCATCTGGGGGAGAGAAAAAATATAATCTTCCATCACCTGCTCCATAGTGTGTTAAAACACCAACCACAGAGGCAGAATTAAAAGGGAACCCAATGGTGATTAAATGTACATATTCGAAAGGAAAATTAGGTCATTTAAAGAAACAAAAGCAGTGTTTACTCCCAGGAGACTCCACACAAACAAAGGCCACCGCCAGCCCCTCGTCCAACAGGTGATGTAGTGCTTCAAAGCTGACATCCCAGGTGGCTGCTGGACGAAGATGCAGCCTGACTCAAGTGCAGGAACAGCGGGTCCTGCTTTTGGGAACTGCCCGGTGGTGGTACGAACCAGAGATTTCTGCCAAAATGTCATGGGGGCGCCCTAAGTATGTCATCAGGAAGCCTCGTGGGAGGGGAACAGCAGAGTGACCTCTGCTCAGCACTCAGGAGCCAGACATTGATCTGGATTGTTCCAGGGAAATATCTTTTTAATCCATGACAGGGTGGGAAAATGTGCTTTGGATAAGACTTTTGGCCAACAAAACATTAATGTAACACAATGAAGACCAAGCATTACAGAAATTTCTGATTTCCACTGGATCCTTCTGTATAATAACCTTTTCCAAAATCGCCCATTAAACACACTGATTTGTTGCTCCTTTTGCCCCATCTGAGAACATCCACTCCTTCGTGCGCTGAGGGATGTTAATTTCTCAACACGCCTTATTTACGGTGCCCGCTAATCCATCCATCTTCAGCCACTGCTTATCCAGTCAGGGTTCCGCTAATCCAGAACCTTATCCTGAGAAGCGCGGCTCGGCAAAGCTGCATGGAATAAGGATTGAAGTAACTGGAGACGTCGGGTGCGCAGATGAACGCGCGCGGAGCGGGACAGCCAGGGCTCTCTGAAGTGATGACACTCGCAGGCAGTGGCGCTGTGCTGCTCTACAGTCGCCAGCGTGAAAGGAAAAGACGAGTCTCAAAGGGATCTTTATGGGTCATTGTGTCCTGCATTTCAGAACAAAACAACACAATGAGGATTACAAAGACACAGAGCAATCTAACAGGACCCAAACACCTATCCTACACAACTCACTAAAGGGCAGCTCCTGAACATCAGCAGTCTTGTCAACACAGAGAGAGAAATAAATGTGAGAAAGCAGTAAGATTCCTGTAAACATATTACACTTCCCATTGCCTGGAAGAGTTCCTGTTTGAATCTATTCTTGATTTCATGTTTTTTTTTTTCCACCCAAACGGAGGAATCTGGAAATGGCTCAATATGTTTTTTGTTTTTTTTTTTTACCAATATGACTTCATCCAATGGAGAGTTAATACAGACAAAGCAACCAGTGTTCAGATTTTAAAAGGTTTATCACATTTACGGTTTAATACCATGAAAGCGAGGACGGGCACTGTCACAAAGCCGGCTGTGATCTTCATTCCATGACATTGACTGTGTTCAGCAGTCACCCTTGACTATGCCGAGCTGGCCATGACTGCAAGATGACTAAACTTAATCCCACTCAAAGCATCCTTCATCATCATTTGCTGGTTTGCACAGCTGTTGTAATCAGGTATTTATAGGTATGGGTGTAAATCAGGCAATAAGAACACCTGTTACTTATAAATACATTTTTAGTCATTTCCACCACAGTCATTTTTAAGACCATCGACAAGGTAATACAAACAAATCAAGTAAAGTGGAGCTTTATTGTCACACCAACCATATTCAGTACACTGCATACAGCAACACAAAACCCCAGACTGAAGCACTACATACAGGCCTATACATACATACATATACCCCAGACTGCAGCGCTATATGAAGGTCTATTCATACATTCATATACCCCAGACTGCAGCGCTATATGAAGGTCTATTCATACATT